ATCTATAACAAAAACTCAATATGTTTGAACCATTTCAATGAACTGAATTACTACAGAAGTTTTGAAATTAAATTTAACCTATGAAAACGCTTATGATGAATATTTGACGAATAAACTGTAAAATATTTCAAATTGGAAATGTTCGATTATAAAAATGAACCAATCAATATGACCAACAAAAACATTTCTAATTACATCAATATTTATAATCAGATAAAATTTATTAATCCCGGATAGTTGTTTCAATCATTCATTGGTTATTATCAACCGATATATGTAAATTGATATAAATAGTACAATGATACTGAATGAGTTAATTAATCATAAGCAACTAAGCACATATGTGAAATTGGTTCAAGCTATCAAAACATCATATCAGTCAAGTTAGGTGAAATGATAAAGTATTAGAAGTAGTAACAGTATCAATTACAGTAGAAAACCATATTGCGTATGGACAACAAGATTCGAGAAGAAAGAATACATTTACGACGGGAAAAAAGGATGATATAACTTTAAAACACAAGATCTAAAGGAAAACAAAGTGTGAATGTAACTGTGCAATACCAACCGATTTTGAGCCATGTCAATCAAAGTCTCCAACTATTATTTACGACGATCATGTGGACCCCAAACGGGTAGACTGTACCTACCTGTATGGTTTAATTCAACGTCAATGATGTCATGGATTGATGTCATTTCTTACAGTGATCGCTTTCGAGCTTTGTCTTAATTTACTCCTAAACTAGCAAACATTATGCGTCAAAGTAGGCAGTTGTTGAAAATTGAATGAGTCAAACCATTTTTAACTAAATGATAACTTGAGCATATCAGCATGTAGAGGATTAAAGAATATTTTAAAAAAGAAGTTCGACTAAACTATCTTACTTTTTTCACAAAACAAGTGGGTTTGTGACTAGTATTGGATACCACAACGCGCGTTTCGTCTGTCAGGACTCGCCAGCTGGGTATACTTACATTGAAGCGTTAATATTCGCTCCGGGATTCTAACCTAATATATATTTTGTCACTTCCAGCTAACGAGTACGAAATGGAATGAAAAATGTGTTCTGGACTTCAATCCTAGTCACGAAGCCATCTATACTTTACAATTTGTAACAATTTACATATGTCCTGACAAAGATTGATACAAATTCCGTCAAAGTTATCAATAAAAAGATAATTGAAATCCTTTCTAACAATGATATAAATATCTCACCTCTTTTATTTTGCCACACATAGATGATGTATCCAGATCGGTTAAAGACGTTGCCAATTCCATGACTTTCTTCGATGAAGGTCTTTGATAAACGCTAGAATTTTGGTTATTATTATTATTATTGTTATTAATATTATTACTACTATTACCATTATTATTTAGCGGTAACATAATTTCATTTTCATTAGAATGTTCATTTTGTATAGAATTTGGTGTAGGTGAACCTGATGGACTTGTAATCGGTTCAAATAGTGAACAATCAATAGTTTGTCCAGGATACATCACTTGTGAATCATAAAATGAAGGATTCAATATTGATAGTGTATTTCCAAATGTTGTTGTTGATGGTGGTGGTGGTATTATCTGATCAATACACTGCTGTTGCATAGATATATTTGAACTAATGTTTATATCAGATTGGTGGTTTGAGTGGATAATTCCACTTTGACATGAACCTGTAAATATATGTAAATAGGGGGAAAAGGTAGCGGGGTTGAACAAGGATACATATAAACATTTGTGCACGACGTGTTGAATGAGATTTTCATTTGACAAAAAAGATGAGATGAACAATCATATGAAAAAAACGAATAACTTGAAATCAATCAATCAATATAAACATTCCTAGATTTGACGATAATGATAGCCACTATCGATCGTCGCTTGACTGACACATCTTTTATGTCTGATAGCCGATCGTCTAATAATGACTTTCTAACTGCTTCCTAGTTGCCAAGAGTACTATAATACTTGAACATCGAATGAGAGAAAGAAAAAACTTTATTTCAAGATTGGTTCTAGTACAGAAAACAAGGATACTTATAGGATTATGTGTGGCTTTGATAAGCTCGAATGTTCTGAAAAGGCATTGAATTTCATGACAAAATAGGTAATCATTCAGTGTCAAACACGATCCATCGTTTTTCCAGGAGTTTCTATTGGTTATTGATTAGATGTAGAATTTCTGTGGGGTCCCAACATCATTTCCTTTCACACTATATTACTAATGGGTAGAATACTGACAGAAAATAAAATTCATATTTTGATAGTGTGTAAAGTATTACTAGTTCTGGGACGTAAAAAAAGCTAAAATATTTTGGACATTGGACTGGTCTGTCATTTATCATGGAAGGGGTTCATGACTCCCGAAACCACAGTACGGATACAATAAGGCCATATGATTTCTATCAAATTTTGGCCTATGTGATTTCAGGAAGATTTCCGTTTGCCTAACGAATGAAGAATGTATTGAGTAAAAAACTAGATCTGTATCGACTTCAAGTCGTAAAACATGTATAGGTCTTTATTATTTGATAATAAGTACTCTCAAAGAATTGTTAGCATATAGCGAAGACATCATTTGAGTAGCGGTCACGTTTTAAATAGAAATGAGAAGTTGATTGTTGATCTTTAAACCGACATCAACAGAGTTTACAAATTAAAAAAATTCAAGCACAACTAAAGGTAATTGATTTCTCAGGAGAATTATTGAATTCATTCGTAAATAGAATCTAAAGCGTTATAATTAACTGTGATGTAACAATAAAGCCCAAAACTTTTTATCCTAAATTCAATTTTGAAGGGTGAAAGCATTAAAAGCTAGAATGACATAAATTTGTATTATAATTTATTGTGTTTTGAGCAGGTATTAGCTTAAATTCAGTGTATCTAATAAAAAAATTTTCATTAAAAAAAAAAATAAACTTAAGAGTTTTTAAACTCGAAACATATCCAATAAGGATGAATTAAACATTTCTGACTTATTCATTAATTTAATTTTTTAAAAATCCGTCAACATTAATATATTGTTGTCACACATTAACCTTATGAAGGCTCTCTAGTTGAACACAACTGGTCGAGTTAGAGCTTATGGAGAACTGTCATCAGAATTGATTACTTCAAGTGGTGTTCCTCAGGACCGTCCACTCTCTCCATTTTTGTTTAACTTCATCGTAGACGTGCTTTTAGAGATAAGACTTTCATCATCTCAATCTCCAGGATTTGAACTTTTACCGGGAGATTCACTTGTTGACTTAGAATATGCCGATGACATAGTTCTATTTGGTGAAGACGCTGACAAAATACAGAGTCTTCTGTTAGAACTAAGTAATAATGCCAGGATGTTTGGGATGCGTTTCTCCCCATCCAAATGTAAATTGTTACTCCAGGATTGGGTTGCATCGACACCCGAACTAATGGTAGGGAGTGAAGTAGTTGAGAGTGTCGACCGCTTCACTTATTTCAGGAGTCTCATCAGTACTTGTGGTCTGGTGCGTGATGAAATCTTAGCACGGATACAGAAGACTCGACTAGCTTTCGCCAACTTGCATCATTTATGGTGTAGGCGAGATATCCATCTAGCAATCAAACCACGGGTTCACTGAGCAGCAGTTCGTTCCGTCCTACTTTATGTCTGTGAAACATGGTCGGTAAGTGTAGAGGATACTCGAAGGCTACTAGTATTCGACCATAGGTGTCTTCGAAGCATTGCTCGTATATCCTGGGACCACCGAGTAAGTAATGCAGTTGTTAGGAAACGGGTACTAGGTAAGGATGGCAAATCGATTGATGAAGTAGTGAAACTTCATTAGTTGAGATGGCTGGGACACGTGCTACGTATGTCCAACCACCAACTGTCCCGACGTGCAATGTTTTATGGTGTAGGAGTAGGTTGGAAGAAAGCTAAAGGCGGCTGGACCAAAACATGGTACAAATCGATGAAGTCACTAACAAGTGAACTGAGCCATGTTGGTAAGTGTAGACTACCTGGTAAGAATCCAAGAGATGATAGCAACCGATGGTTAGAGACCTTGAAAGACATGGCTCAAAATCGTCTGTAATGGCGAAGATGCATCCACTTTTTGTGTTCTACCAAATTCTAATCTTCTGAATTCTTCATGTCCCTATCCTTTTTCTCTTTCCAAATTTATTTCATTGGATTACACTCCTTGAATAACACCTTTAAACCCTAATCTTTCCGATTACTGTTTATACTTTTACTACGTCTGCCACTATGAGATTTGAATCGACAACTGCATCTCTGAGCTAATGTGGTATGGCAACTTGGACTGACGTACGTACAAAGTTCTACATTGTGACTGGTTGACTGACAAGGAAATTTCAGATTGAGTAATAAACCTTTCTTGATTCATGACTGTGGGATCAGGAGAAACACGGAATTGGATTGAATATATGTATTAATATTGCTACCATTGCTACTGTTACTGCTACCAACAACAACTGTGGATTCACATACAGGTATTGATCCATATATAAAAACTTTCGTCTGAATTAGAGCGAATAGTTTCACAGTATTTGGGCGGCGAGTTTATGTAAGACATTAAATAGGAAGAATATATATTTTTAAAATCTCAGCGAATGAATTTGAAGTAAATCCAACGTTTCGCCTGGCAATCTGGTCCAAAGTTTTTCTTGCATTTACTTCAAATTTATTCGCTGAGATTTTACAAATACATTATTCCTATTTAGTGTCAGGTATTGATACGTTGGAAAGTAATTTTGGAGTAGAAGACTGGGAAGAAACAGCAGCTAGAATTTGTTTATTTTTTTTTACAAATGATAAGTTGAAAATAACAGATGAACAAGAAATTAGCGGTGACGGTTTTAGTTAGTTGAAATTAAAAGTGTCAATAATAAAAAAAAACATTATACCGTTACAATTATAATAACTCAGCACTAATTTCAGCTTGATTATGATGTCTGCAAAGCGAATAGAGTATTCAGATATTGAATAAATTATATGGATTCATTCTGTTTTTTTTTTGAAGAGTAGAGTGATACATCAACGTTGCTGAATAGTGAAGAGCATAGAAGAAGTCAGGTTTGTCACTTCATGTTCATTACACTCTTTACTGTCGAATCAAATAAATGGGATCTTTTTATTTATTGAATAGAGTTTGAACATTATTTGGATAATTCAGGTGGTAAATGATTGATGTAAAAAGCAAGAATTAATTCCTACAGATGGATGAGAAAATTACACAACTTTTATTCTACAGTCGATTATAGTTTCGATGATATTTAAATATGTTTATTCCCTTTTTTGCTACATGACCGCATAACTTGATATGAAAAAAAGGATATTGGTTGCCAGTCACGTTTATTGTTGTTTGGGATTAGGAGATTATATAAACTAATATCAAGTTTCCATGAATAATTGTTACTAAGTCATATTTTACATTAATTCACACGATTAACTTCAAGTCCACAAAGCTAATCATAACATAACTAATATGGGAAACAGAGGAGCGGTTTAATTCTGTTATTTTTTCTAGTTATGTGGTGTGTGTTATTGATGACGATAGATATAAGTAGCATACATCATCAGTCAAAAGTAGAATGTTTGGCGGCAGAAGATTAATAAAATCGATGAGAGGGAAACGAGAACAGAGGGTGATTGGTATGGAAATGAAGGAACAAAAAAGTCTGAGACAATTGATGGATATTTTGCAAATGAAATATTTACTATGTAGTTCTCAGATTATACTAAAAGATACTGTAATTTTGTATCTAAATGCATTTGGTTGATTCCGCTTGTGTTTTCGTTCACTATAATACTTTAATAAAAGCGCTAACATTGATAAAAGTAGTGCTTACATAATTGCACTTTATTGCAATAAATTAATTTAGAATCTTAGTTAGTTATACCGTCTTGTTTTTGAGTTCTTAATGTAGGATGAACATCTAGTGTGTATTTCTATTAAAATAATTTAATTATTACCTACGGTTTGGTGGACACTTCTTGAAGAAAGATTCTAAGAATCTATTAAACCTATATACGACGATATTGTAAGCACTGAGTTTTTCAGTATATTTATTTAACTCAATTACCCGGTTGACAGATTCATGTAATTAGCTTCGAGGAACATTTTAGAATATAAGGTCCATCCCCGCATACCAAGTTAGAGAAGTGGGATTTAGACAAGCGACCCAGAGGCTGAACGTCGAATGCCTTAATCACTGAATCACCATTCCAAGCACCAAGCTATGTATAATGTTTAACATGTGAGGATGCAAATAATAATAATAGTGCTTCCAATATGAAATAAACAATCTGATATAGTTTTGTGATTAAACTACAAACAAAATCACGATGGAAAAAAGACATTCTGAAATCATTTCTAATACATAAATTAACGACCAAAATACAACTGATATCACACACACATGAGCCAATAAACAGAATCAATTAACATTGTACGGTATATTTATTTTTTACCCCTGATCACATTTAACAATTGTCAGTAAAATGAACTAGAATCAATATCAAAGACAATCACATTAATATCAGTACTAATACTACTACTAACGATAATCAATACGCAGAAGCTACTAATATCACCATTATTATTACTATTGTCAGTAGTAGTGGTAGTAGTATGATAGCTAACAGACTGGGTATGAATATTATCCAATGAAATAGTATTTTACTATCATTTACTGACCTATTCGTTAAAAATAATACCAATTTCACAGACTGAATATATATTAGTGTATTGCAGGGAACGGAATCTGATCCGTGTTACGAACAGATCCAGACTATAAATATTTTATACTACCTTCCCCCCTGTAAGAACAGAAAGATATACAGAATATTGTTTGGAAATAAAGAATGATTCGGTTTGTTGAGTAAACCACTTAAATTTTTTCGAAATTCTGAGTAAACCTATAGTTTTCGATTATCGATGCTGTTATGCTCATAAAAATGTATCAACATGCATCTATGCAACATTGATCCCATCACATGGATATTAACCTTACTAACATCAGTAGCCTTTATATTCTAACTGCGATAGACTTTCTGTATTTGGGATGGATATCACGATAGATGACACTTTCGAACTGTATCATACCAAATGGTGTCTGCTATATTATCTGTAATTAAGAAATATGTTGAACCATGATTAGGGATCTGAATAGATGAATGAAGTGCTAACAAGTACATCTAAAAGTTTAACCACAATCCTTATGTTGTTTACAAACGACACTTTGTTAACGTTGAGACTGAAAAACTATCTTCTCCAATCTAAAGGTTCACTTGGAAGAATGCTTTTTAGCCATACTGATGAATTTTTATAACCCCGTTTATGTGATTTAAAGTCTCAAGAACTTCTAAGTAGCCTTGAAAAACCCCATAACTAATGTTAAAAACTATCTTTCCTATTAAAAAAACAATCATTTGCATAACGTGCTTTCTGAATGTCTAAAAAACGTCATTTTCAAGTTTGCTGAAGCTAGTCCTCATACTTTATTCGTGGCATTCAAGAGATATAACAGCAATCGAGTGGATGGGCACTACACACGGTTTACAATTGGTTGCAGTAGCTGTGATACACATTCACTTTATTTAGCATACAAATATTTAATACCGTATTTGTGTTTTGTTCTATTCTAATCCAACTATCGTAATCATTTGAACATTCCACACTACTGTCAGCACTATTATTTTCGCGCCTATGTTTCTCTTGTTATTGATTTGGATAGGTCTTAGTGTCAAGGTGGGGTAGCTTTAACCGGAATACAGCTATGCTACAGTCTACTTTGTTGTTTTCTGTCTAATAGTATATTAGCCCTATTTTCTGAGGGATTTCACGAAGTACTGAAACACAGTAAAATTGTTTAATTACGATAATGTGTAGTATCTCATCCCTTTATTCACACGGCGTCAAAGAAGAGTCTAATGGGGTAATTGAAGACAGTCTATTACAGAAAACAAACAATGAAAAATCTGTAAAAAAAAGCGAAGATCGTATTACGACTAAGAATGACAATAATTTTTAAATTATCACCAACAGTAATACTGGTTTCGAATGATAAGTGGTGAATATGCTGTTGGATTTCAAAATTCATTTATACACATTATAAAACAAGTTTCTAGTGAATGTTCAATGAGTCAGTCATCTAGGAGTCATGAGTATGAGCTCAAAACCTGGTAACGTCTATCAACAAAGGATGTTTCCAGAGCTCAGTTGGTTCATACCACACTATCTGATTTCAGGCGTGAGTAGCTACTCAGGGATGATATGAACTAAACAAAATACCTGTAAGATTAAATCATGTGGATAGATTAGTCGTCAGATAGTAACGAATATCAAACATTTGATTAGAAGTTCTAGGCTGAGTGATAATTAACATTCATTCTAATTATTGTAACATGTTTGATGGCAATGAAGATTATTCTAGGATGTATGTCATTCTAAAACTTTCGTTTCAACTGGTTTTGATTGTATTGATACTATGTTGTAGACAGAAATCTCAAACACATGTGAATATCGACTAAGTTTGCCAAACTCTATTAGCACAACGAGATGAAATTACCAGGGCGAATCCCAGAGAGGTAGTAAGAGTAACAGTGTTATTGGTAATAGGAAACTTTAGGCATCTAAGATGCAATTGGAGAAGAAAATATAAATTAGTTAAAGCGAAAAAAGTTTTCGAGAAATTTAGAAATCCAGAAACTGAAGGAAGACAAAGAGTGAACCCACTTGTGTGATTGAGAACCATTGTGAGCCATGTCATTCATAGTTTTTAACCATCAGTTGAGATAATCACTAACAACGCGACCAGGTAGTCTGCACATGTTAGCATGGTTCAGTCCTATTTCCAATGACTTCATGGACTGATGTCATATCTTTATTTGGCCGCCTTTAGAGTTCTTTCGACCTACTCCTATACCATGAATCATTGCGTGTCCAGGTAAGCGGTGGTTGGAGATACGTAATACATGTCATAACCACCTCAGATCCCCTATCTCCGTCATCACTGATGAGACACTCAAGAGGAGTGAAGCGGCCGATACACCCAACTACAGTACTCTGCACCATTAATTCGCATGCTGATGCAGGCGGGTCCTGGAGCAACATCTAGCATTTGGAATGAGAAAATTACATCTCAAATGTGTTTGCATTGTTGCTTAAGGCGGTAAGAAAACTGAATTTCCTTACCTGTTTTATCAGATGAAGTGTTTTTGTGTAGATTTTAGTAATCCGTTTTTTCTAAGAAGTAATGTGAAATGACAATTTTCAATGATTCACCAAGTGACTGCGTTATCAGTTCATAATGCCATTTACTTGCAAAATGTTCAAAAGACTATCTGGCCTGGTTTTATAGTAATAATAGTAGTTTTCTAAATGTAGATATTCAAATATCATAACAGTATAGGATAAGAGAAAAAGGTGGAAAAGAGCTACATACACATCTAAAAACTTACATGATTGTAACAATTTTATTATATAGTCGGGATTATTCAAAAATAGCTGCATTCTTATAAATGGTTCACGACCTTTTTGTGTAAGCAATTTCCACGGTTTCGGTCTGGCCAATAGATCAGAAACACTTCCTTGAGACAAACCTTGATGTAAGTAAAGGCAATAAGTATGGAAATATTATTAACACTTAAGCCAGGCCAAATTTAGGCCATAAAGTTTCAGTACAATTTAATGGAGGTATACGTCATGGCGTTTAACAGCTAGATGGTGTCGATGTAGACACAGACAGAGAGGATCGAAAGTTTGTATGACGTGGTGTTTATCGTGATTATAGCAATTTATCTTGTGGACGATATTCAATTCATCGCTTAATGTTACAACCCTTGGCTTGTATAATACTGACTGTAAAGATTTTGTGGGTTGACAAACTGAACAGAGCCGTTGATTATATGAATTCCACATTACAAGTGGAATTAAACAACAAACTGTCATTATTAGTTGAGCTGATCATCAAAACCAAATACAGGAACTTGGAAACCAAATAAATTTGAAGTCAACTGATACTAATCAGACAGTCATTTACGACAGCAACAATCCATTGACTCGTAAGTTAAGCTGCGTACATAGAAGACGATATGAAAATAACATAAAACCTAAAACGATAGACCTATTTAGTCAACAGAACCGCATAATTTATGGTTGTGTTCTATCAAGCAGCATATGACTAAAGCGTTCATGTAATACAAGTTAAAAGTGGTAGATATTTCTATTCTTAATCATATTTTTTTAAACCTTGAATTTGTACCACCATGTACCTGTTAACTACTGTTTCACGACCTTCTTCAAGTTGTCTACCATATTTAATAACAGTACTCATATACTATGGAAGTTCATATATAAGAAACTTCTAATAAAAATTTTTAAGTAAAAATAATTTACCGAGTATATATGCACCAAAAAGTCTTTGACTAATAGAATACTGAGAAAGAATTGAACGAGTACGATGAGCTATCTCTTCTGTACATAATTCACTATATTTATCAATATCTTCTTGTTTCAAAGGAGGCAGTACTACTCTTTGAAATGAAAACATTGTGCTATTGATATAACTTGAATCAGGCAAATTATCATCAGTTGTTTCATAGGGATTATGATGATGAACTGTATCACTATTAGTTAACAATGGCACAGTAGTGGTCGTAGTATTAGTATTAATAGTAGCCGGAGCAGTTATAGTTGCAGTGCTCGAATCTGCATGATTCCATTGATTCACATTAATATGCTCTGAATTCACTAATGTCGATGAAGTTTTCAACGGAACACTAGCAGTTGCTGCTGACGCCAAAAGCATTAAGGTTTGTTGTAAGGACATGGGTGATGATGATAGAGAAGTAGGATTAGAAGATGTCTGTGAGAACAATGGTGTTGATACAGGTGGAATGCCTAAAGGTGGGATCGGTAGATGATTATTTAATTTAATTATTGATGGAGATAATATAGGCATTGGAAATTCATTAGTCATGGCTGGTGTTGTAGTAGTTATTATTGTTTCAAGTGGTGTATATATCGGTGCACAATCATCTTGTTTAATAACAGTATTATTGACGGAATAAGGTGAAGAGATTGATGATGAGTTAGCCAATAAGGGAAGATTACCATTGAACAGAATATTTTGTTTATTATTGGTTGCATTTTTTGAAGCATTTAAGGCACAAGGTAATGTGATGGTGGATTGTACTTTTGAAGAATATGAAGAATTATTATTATCAAGTGTTGAGTCGAATATGACTGGTTTATTTGAATTAACTGAATTATTTGTCAACTGAGTAGTAAATAGTTTTAACTAAAACAATAAAGATAAAAAATAAAACTTGTCATAAAAGAAAAAAATCATGATGTTATCTACTTTTGTTTAACATAAAGACTATTGAAGTGAAGAAAATTAAGTGCATTGACCGATTTACGCTCATATTGAAAGTCTCATTAGGTCTGGTGGGTGAAGAAATCCTGGACGGATTTAAAATGCTTTCCTACTCTTCATGGATTCGCGTTACGTATGGTACAGGGGGGCGTGAGTTTTTCAATTAAAAAGCAAATATACCTCACAGCTATCCACCCTGTTTTACTTTATGGTCAGGAAACTTGGGCTTCGAAACCAAGGAAAATCCACAGATTACTAGTACTGCGTTATGGATTACTTCGAAGCATAACTCATGACATAGTGGAACAACTAAATGAATAATACAGAGGTAAGACGTAAGGTACCTAAGGAAAATGGGAAATCATTTGATAGAGATGGAAAGATTCACCGGTTGTCATGGATGAAAAGTGTGTTACATATGTTAAACTAACGTCAACTCCTACATAACAGTAAGCCACAAAGACATTTGCAATGGACAGATCACTATATAGTGGTATTGACTCGTGAAGTCACTGATCACTGAACATACTCGTATGTGCACATAATTACCATGATCAGTAGGTGACGTTAGATGATATAGCTCAAAAAGAGTCGTGATGCGGTAGACGCATTCAATCTCCCTGTGGATCTTGCATCTCAAAACCACTTCACACTTTTTGATGTATCCGAACGAAGACTAAATAATTGATAACTTCCAGAATTAATACGTAGATTATTATTATTATTACTACTGCTGCATATTCTTACTGTATCATTAATAAACAACTGAATTACTACATTTATATATTTGGTTTATCTTCTGCTTAACCTTTTAACTATCATCGTACCACTTATTAGTCCTATTTTATTACCAATCAATTATTAACAGCCTGCCCCCACTCATAACCACTTTTGGATTGTTTATGTACAATTGTGATTTGTCACTTTTTCATAGTACAATGTGATCCGGTGTGTTAGTACATAAACCCACATATGCTTGAAATAAAATAGTAACAGAAGTTATCTGCTGACTACTCTTCAAACTCGAGGCAAGGGATAGAGAGGCCTTAAATATGCTGGGACCAGTAGACGTTTATCGAGCGTCAGGAGAGAAAATTATTGGAATTTTGATCGGTGACTTTAACACGCGATATCGATTAATGTCTCAAGTCACAACATAATGTATACTGGACATTCATTCTTTCTATTTGAGATATGGTTTTACTACATTCAGTTTTGTAGTGGAATATACTACTACTTAGACTCCTTCCATAAGCATCATATTAATTATAGTTAGTTGTGTTGATGTGGTCCAGCAGCTTGGAACAATGTACATTTATGCCTGGTCACATGTTGTAATACTAATAAAGTAATGTTTTGAGATATTACCAGAAGTAGCTACAAACGCTTAAACCCTAAAATCATGGATTATTAACTAGTAAAGGTTATATGTAGTCGCTTTTGCGACAACCCTTTTTGGTATGAGGAACCATAATACAACCTGATTACTCTAACCAAAGTAGGTGTCTTGAAATTTGAAACTGTGATCTAGTGTTTGAAAAATAAGCGCTTTCAACCACTAAGTCATTGTAACTCGAAATATATGTATATACAATGAATGGGATATGCCAAATTAATTATACATAATCATCCTGATAAAAACGCATCATTATAAAATAGTACATTGTAAGGAGATTTATTACTTTTCTAACTCATCTTTCTGACTTGATAGAAACAGGACATGATTAGAAAAATCATTTTTACTAATTTACTTTATTACATTTAGATCTACAAAAAAATTTAGAAAAAAACAAACAAACAGCAACAACCAGTTCGACAAAAATTTTAAACAACATTCCATGAAATAATTAATTTTGTAGTAAGATAAAAGTACGTTAAAATAAAAACTACATGTATTAGTAAACTCACAAGATCTGAAACTGTAATTCCATTTGACATAATTGGCACAGATTGATGAGTAACATGAACTACAGTATTATTCGAGCACACTGGTAATGATGAAGCTACCAATTGACTAGATGGCAATTGTGAACAGATTGTAATTTCATTTACAGATGGACAAGTTTGAACGCTACTATAGCATACAGTAGGAGTACATGATAAATTGTTGATATTATCAAAAGAATTATTGTGATTTGACACTGTAGAAGAATTTGAGCTAACATTTATTCCATGCCTTAATAAATTGTTAGGATATGGTGATAGCTGAGATGAAGAATGATGATATACAGCAATACCATTGCTTTCATCCATCAATGAAGTGACAACAGTCGATTCGAAAGAGTTGATAATACTTCCAGAAGTGGTAACAGTGGTAGTAATATTATTAGTAGTCTACGATAAATAAGAATAACAATATTAAGAATGAAGGCAATCAATTAATATCAGAAGGGGTTTTGTGGAGATTTCAGTAATTTTATATAGTTGAAGTCATGAGTCAATTGAAGCTAGACCATCATGAAAACCAGGAAGCACTGGATGGCCGTTTGATCCTATTGTGGGACTCCTCACCAGTGCGCATCCACGGTCCCGCCTCGCGAGGTTCGAACCCAGGACCTATCAGTCTCACGCATGAGCGCTTAACCTCTAAACCAGTGAGCCGGTATCCAACGGTGCTAGTGTTTTAGTTCAACAGATCCACAAAATCGAGCAACCGCCCATCATTGTCTTCAGTGAGTTACTGTCTCACAACAGACACAGTTGAACTCCACTGGCTACTGCTTGGTTGGTACATGTGCATCCTGTGTGACTTGCTTCGATAAAGTCATTATGATATAAGTTAGCATAGAATAGATACATGTTTCGTCCTATTTGGGACTCGTCAGCTGAATGTACCTAGATCTTAAAGTCAGTATTCACTCCAAGACTCGAGTCCAATGAAAATTGACTCTTGAATGCAAGTACATACAGCCAAAAAGTTCGAAATAGAATGAAAAGTGAATCCTGAATTCTAATCCTAGCTATAATCCATCTACTCTGTATAAAACGTATAAATTGGGGACTACAAACCTTTATTGCTTATAAACAACGAAATGAAATAATATATAGTTCCTAATCAATAAAGTGACAGGAACCGTTGGATATATTCACATAATGATGAATAAACGAACCACACAAAAGTGATATTAATACTCAGTGTTAATTTCGGATTAATTTTTTCCACAATAACACCAGTTTCTAGTGGAAATCTCAAGTTGATCAAGTGGGAAGATTCAATCCCAAAAGAACAGAATACAGAATTACGAACTTATCAAGTAAGCATCTGTAACCGACATGTGTCAATGGTTTAAATTCTCACAAAATACCATAATTACGGTAAAACTAACAGGTTTGCAACCCGCTTAATTATACTAAACATGTTGTATTTATGAACAAAAGAAAATACTTTATGGTCGAAATAAAACTCACTTGGGAATCAGCATCGAGAGTGCTAATAGCGGATACCGACAGACAGTTACTATTATAAATCCCGGTTTGACAATCGGAGAATGGAGATTGTTGCTGTTTCATTGTTAATGTATTATCAAATGAATCACTATTAATTTTTTCAGTTAACCCGTTGGCTTTAATTTGTTTCTCATAATCCATTGCCGCTTTAGCAGCTAATAAAATTTGATTAATGCGTCTTTCAGTTTCTTGTTCTTCTTTAGATACAATATTTTCATCTGGATGAACTGATTCGGAAGATTTCATTGAAGAGCGATGGCTGGAATTTGTTTCTTTACCAGGTTGTTGTTGTTGTTGATGATGATAATGATAGTGATGAGAATCGTTAGACTTTTGAGTTTCCAGATCATATATAGGTTCTGTCTTTTCAGGTCTACTAGTTAAAACACTTAGCGGTTCAATATCATTACGATAGACAAATGGAGAGGTTGATGTAGATTTTGTTAGGGAAAAATCCTTTTGACAAGGTGCTGATACAGGATTTGAGTTAGGAGATAACAGAGATTGTTGGTTATTTAAACTAGTAATTTCGCATGCAGATTGATTAGTCTCTACAGTTGTATTGGTGAAACAAGAAAATGTAATAGCACAAATAGTGACATATCAATAAGTACGACGAAAATGTTACGTGTGCAGAAAAAAAGACAAATGATGAGTCTTTTATAGCCAATAAGCTTGAATATAGAGTTGAAACTAGTAAACGTGTATTAAACTCTCAGTTTTGTTAATGTATCAAACAAGTTATTACGAACCCAGGTCAGTGGTAATTATACAGTAGTGAGAGAGTATCACCAGCTTTCATATAAAGAATGCGATTAATGAAACTTGAAGGAACCTTCTTAAAATATAACATACGCTTTTATGCTATTGATTCACAAAACAGCAAAGATGATCTCATCTGCTGTTAAAAAATGCGTGAATGGTTATCAATTCCCGGTTGCCTACACTATGGAAGGATACTTCTTGACGTATCTGAAAAGAGGACTCGGTTAAGGGTGGTTTTGACAACCTGGGAATGTGATCATAGTGCCTAAAAAACAATTGCTTAAGGTTAGTCATATATGGTGTTTTCGACTCTGGACTTTCAAGGCATCATCGATGGTAACGAAAATCTGTGAGACAAAGTGAGGTCTGTTATTTGTAGGGTCGACTCCTCTCATTTTGAGAGGACAGTATTGTTGCAGAGAGTTGAACTACCAAAAATATTAGTAAGATCTTCAGGAAGCGACAAAATCTTATTACCAGTAGACCAACGGAATATCAGTGCAACAACTTCATCCTCAAGCATAGGCTGCTGGACTCGACCGGTTCAAATCGAAATAGACGGAATAGGGTTAGAACTTGAGACGTATATGCTGAAATTTAAGTGGCTTTACCCATAAACTATTGGTTTATAATGGAATATGAAGTGTCATATACTTTTATATGAATTATAAAACTACAGTTATTTTGAAGGTGAACAATAACCCCAATATATGTTATTCATAGATTCAGATACATTTGATTGAATTCTAGGTTTTGTAGAGAAATATATTATCTAAACACAAATGTAATAATATACCTACCGTTTCGTCTGCGTTGAGTATTTTTTAAACTATTCACATTATTCGGATCCGATATCCATGCTTGCAATCGTCTATAAGAATCTCTACCACGTGCAGTTAATCTGTACCATGGTCTCGGTTTAGACAACAATTCACTCATTGTACCTTGACTTAATTTAAGTATATGTCTAGAGAATTGGCGTTGCGAAATATTATGCTTCGTAAGAAGATCTCTAACTGTGGCGGCTATTTCAAAAGTGTTCAATGGTTCAATTTGATCTTTCATAAACTGTTGTGACGAATCAATAGATGTAGGACTGTCTAATGGATCGATGTTTTCATCTATACAGTTGACAACTGCTCCTGAATGACTCAGTGAAATGCACTCATCATTATGGGACAATACGACGGCAGAGGTTGAGGATGTAGGCAAATCTGTTGAGGTAGTATTGGCCAAAGTTGTTGATAGACATGTTGTGGTTCGCGGATAGTCAGGGCCTAATGAGTTTATCGATGAAATAGGAGGATAAGATTCAGTCGCGCCAGTTTGTGTTGTAATGGTAGAAGTAGTAGTAGCAGTAAAGGTTGGTAGTAAATTGTTTTGTTCATTCAAAGGGATATAATGCATTTGACTTATTGACATTGAATCAGTCACAGTTTGATTGGTTTGTGGACGACCTACGATCGAATTGATAGTATTGTCTGTTTGAAAATATAAAATGAGTAATAGTTATGATGAAGTTTTTTTGTTGAACAACAGAGTAAATCAAGGTAAATTTTTAACAAGATATACATGAAGTAAACATTCTCTATATAGTGAGAGATATGAATTCTGAAAAAGCAATTATGACGATTAGTTCATTAATCAGATTTTTTTTAAAATGTATTCAATGAATTGTTTTATTCTTTCTTGCGCTAAACCAAATTAAAGACGACATTTAATTGGTTAACTTGGGGACTTTTGAATAAAATAAAAATAATGCAGGAGGTTATTTCAAAAACACTAAACTTATCATCATTTTAGAACGTTGCCACAATGAGCTACAGAAATTGTAACAACAATCATACAACGCCAATTTTAATTGACCGCTTCCTATTATTTTACCCTTTTCAAGGTCATGCGAAAAACTACTAAATGTACAGCAATGATTCTCCTTTTTTCCTATGAAGTCCAGCTTTCCCTAATCTTACTTGCATAGTTATCATTGTCGAAATCGTATCTCAACTGAGGCCAGTACAAGTTATGAATTAAACCCAGTCTCAATTAGCCAAGACGGAAATATTATGTTTAGTTTCCGAATACTATATAATTTACAGACGTGATAAATTGAATAGTGGTTCTTTCTTTTGAAAACCATTTACAATCAGTATTTTGGGAGATCAGTCTGAAAAATAAATTATCATAGAACAAGATCAGGTTGTTCAAGTCGACGAAATAGTGTCTATTGTACAACAACAATAATAAAATGTAAGTTACGGTCTCTTTCTCTACTTAAAAACAAGCGTTTACAAATATGTGGTGTTAATTAGTGATCACCTACTACCTCATTATTTTTATATTTAAGTTAATACCTGCGTGAACTGAGTCAATCTCCTTACGTACATCCTCTCTTCTATATTTAGCTTGTTTTCTTTTTTCTTCTTTCTACTATAAAAATGCGATTAGAATTACAAAAAGTAACCAATTTACTGAAATATCACCACCTTATCTAATTATCTACTAATTAAAATAATCGATTAATCAATATGAGTCGGACATGAATACAATTCCAAGTATAGGTAGGTAGGTGTCAATTCATTGATATATTATAATGATAATTATAATCGTGCATGAATACACTTAGATATAAGTAAAGAGAAGTATTTCAATAATGTACATTACTGTTTCAATAATAAAATCTATAATTGATGTGCATTATCATTATCATCATATATCTGAGATGAAAATCAATAATGACAAACAACACACGCACACACATGGATACAATAAAAATGAAATAGAATCCTGTACGAAATCGGAAAAAAATTGATCTTAAGAATAGTATTATTTTCTTTCTCTCTCTCTCGTTTAGTATTCATGTATATTTGTGCGTGTAGCTATGCACAAATTAACCAACTAATTTATAAACTATCAATAACTGACATATTTTTTCTAGAAAATAAGAAAATTAGTGGTAGTTATTTTTCTTCTTCTGAGTAGTTGTTATTCGTTGGTTTTTGGCGGTTATTATTGACGATGCTAGTATTAGTTTATAAAGAAAAGATGGATAGGAAATGAATTGATTCCTTCTAATTTATGGAATAGGTAGTAAAGCAAATAAAATATTCCTGTCAGAACTGGCGTTTTTTATCCATTCAACGTAAACAAAAAATACACATTATTATTGTCGTTATTACTATTTCCTATTGTTAATTTCAGAAACTCAACTTTATGTTGAACAAGCTGTTGGTTGTGATTGAAAAAACGTTAGTAAAACTGTGTATATTATAAATGAAACAAGTGCCTTTGGAGCATTACTTTAAAGTATACTGAAATTACGCAATAAGGTATAATGTCTAGCTGTAGTGTCAGGCAGAAACGGTAAACAGTGGCATAATGCTATGAAAATTCCTCGACTGACCAGTAGTTAAAACATGTGTTCCGCATACTAAGAGACTGGAAACAGATTAGGAGCGGCCAGACCAAGATATGGTTTTCAGCTGCATCATGAGGTGTCACCTTTATGGTCAAAGTAGTATATGATTAAAAACCTCTGGTAATAGCCCAAATCTTTAATTATAATTTATCTTGTGATTATTCTGATTCATTTAGAGCTATATTCTCTACTTTTTTACGCTAGACAAAATAAAAAACTACATCATTCAATGTAATTAAAATTCTCACAATGACAGGTCTCAATTTAATTACAAAAACAATAAATATTCCTATTACTAGTTTTGTAGAGAATGGTGAATTTTCATAGTTTGGAGAAAGGATTGATCTCATTTGGGTCACCATAGAAAACCAAGAAGCACCGTATAATTGTCTCATCTTGTTAAAGAAATCCTCACTGGTACACATTTACGACCTCGACGAGAGCTGAAAGCAAGACCTTAGGTCTCGCGCGCAAGTATTTAGCCTCTTGACTACTGGACCTGGGCTAAACTGAGGAATCCCATACTTAAAAAGATCTCCAGTGGTTCCTGATGTTAGTTTGTAGTCTAAGATCAGATCATGATATTAACTATGAATATTCCTTTTCACATCCAGTAATCAGTAAATACTTGGTGAAAATATGTAATAACTATTAAATTAAATCTAATAGAGGTCATACCGTTATGCTTAGCAAATTGCTTTCAAGCTAATGTCGTTCAATCAAAAAGAATTGTAGTCAGTTGTAATTCCGATAATTAAACGTGAAATTTGGAATTATTATGTGATAGATACTAGTTTAATGATTTTTAACAAGCAGAATAGTTAGAAAAACAATTTAAAGTCTATGAGATATTCAAAAAAATAAAAATAATGAATCTATTATCAAAAACTTAGTGGTTGACAAAGCAAATCTATTTATACATGAAAGTTTGAACTACAATAGTAACAGCCGAGTTGCTCAAAAGAACAGGTTAAACTTGTAGTCACATAAATGTTTAGTACAGCTGAACAACCGAAAAACTTAGGAAACATAATCATTACTTAGTGTTTAAATAAGAGAATTGTTCAATCAATTTTACTGAAAATGGCTTACCAATAGAGTAAAATAACAACATAACTATTTCAACTCACAGATAAACTTTACATCATAATTTATCGATGTATTTAAAATCTTCGATAAAATATTGCGCCTGATGGGCTTTTATTTATTTTTCATAGATGAAAGCATGAGTCAATTGAAGCTAGACCACCATGGAAAACCTGGAAGCACTGGACGGCCGTTTCGTCCTATTATGGGACTCCTCAGCAGTGCGCATCCACGATCCCGCTCTCGCGAGCGAGATTCGAACCCAGGACCTACCAGTCTCGAGCCGAAGCCCTTAACCGATAGACCACTGAGCTGGCATCCAACGGTGTTAATGTCTAACTTCAACTAATCCACGAAGTTGAGCAACCATTCACCAATTGTCTTCAGTGAGTTCCTATATCACAACAGACGTGGTTTTGAACTCCACTGGTCACTGCTTCTCACTAGAGCTCCTAGATATACTTCTCGAAGTCACTAGTGATTTATTTATTTAAACACATAAATATTGGTACCAATGGGGTACCGAATACATATGCGCCACACAAATCTCATTTGATTTCTGTGAGGGCTGTGATACTGCCCAGGTGCCCAAACTGAAGCAGGTGGTTTTCTTAAGGGGTCACACCCCGAGCCTTTGACCTAAAGGTCTAACCCACAAGGCAGTGAAGTATCGTAAGGAAATGCAGCCCCATGGTAGCCGGTGACCAACGATTCATTCATACGCCATTTGTTACCCCAGGACACTGGAGCCCAAGTGCACTATTGGTTTGGGATCAGGGTTTTCCAACTCCCCTAGGTGAACTTTCCGTGTCCACCAACCCGACTAAAGCGCCGGACATTCGCTTTTCGTCCTCTCAATTTCGTAAACAACAATAATGCCACGGGAAGGTAGTGAGTAGGACTTCCCTAGCAGAGGCTTTGAAGTGGTGTACGAGCATAAAGACCGAGAGCTCAACAGAAGCCAAGACTAGTGCATAAAAACTACAAAATTAAATACGGCCACCGGTATCATAATGCATCAACCAAACGAGTCATTGGATTGCTTAGATAAATAATATATGAGAACCATTTAATATTACACGGTATCATCACTGATTTCAACATACACACAAAGTCAGATAACCATAGCTATGAGTTTATCCTAGATATTGTAGAGGCTCAAACTCATAAGCTATGGAACTATTTACTGTAACATACCATTCAAGTGAAATAATTATCAATAAATATGGTCGAGTAATGCTGGGTCGATCATGAGATTGCTCAATTTTTGTCAATAATCTTATTCTTACTAGCAATGGTAACCGCTAGAACTTTTCTTTAATTTAGTGGTTTGCACGACCTTTGCCCTTTCTTGATTGGTTGCCACTGCTTTTAGTTCGCTAGTTCTTTGTGAATTTGAAGATCATGCATTTGTTACCATACATAGTGATTTTTATTATTTGAGGTTAATCTGCTTGAATATCAAATCCTTCCTACAGTTAATCGTTTTTTGTGTTAGCAGCTAATTGATACTGTTGCATCCCGAATGGTGTTATCGACCGCACTAGACTAACTTAATCGTTCGATGATTGGCTAATATATCGTAGGTCAGCCGGAAACCCCAGTAGACATAATCGCTTTTATTCGATTAAGATGTAACAGATCAGCTTAGAAAGAAAAAACAAGTATGAATACCGTAACAGAATAGATATTATTGCCAGTATTTAGAGACTACGATTGACCCAGTAACATGGAATGAAGTTAGTCATAAGATGAAGACACAGAACTATGGAATGAGTGTATTGAATGAATTTTACTACTAAAATTCAGTTAAAAAATAAAATTAAAATGATCAGAAAAGTTGATGGTCGACACCACCACTGATAACGAAAAGTCTAAAAAGAGGATATTTGCAATGACCGTCCAGTACTTCCGTGTTTTCAATGATGGTCTAACTTTGGACACTTCATGATCTCAATGGAAAAAAACAATCATTTTTAGTATAACCGGTTTGAGAAGATCGCTCAATTAGTAATTAACAATATGGAATGCAAATTCAGTGATACATGAGAAGAAAATATATTAAAATAACATACCCGATGGAATCTTTGAAGTCACACACAATGGAATACATGAAGGGATTGAACCATAAAGCACAGATAAAACTGACGGTGAAGATGAAATACTTAAAGGTGAAATCGGTACGTTTTCTGATGACGGTGGGTTTGTGGAAATTTTTAAAGGCATAAAAGAAGTAGACAGAGTTGAAGGATTGTGGATTACACTTGATGTAAGTGTTGTCACCGTTGTTGATGTACAATATAATGGTGAACTGTTGTTAGTCACATAATTAAAATTATCCGGTGTACGTAATGGATTATGAGTAATTTTAGTGTTATGTACATTGTTCAATGAGAAACTAGCTGAACCAATGTCAATGGTAGGCAGCTCAGTATTTATCAGTGGAGTAGTTGGTGAAAATATAGGCATATTATTTTTGTTATTATATAGATAAATGGATGAATTTAGAGGATGTGGGTACGTAGAAGACGTTGTTGTTGTACATGAAGACTGAAGATGGATTCGATTAATCAGAATATTTTGAATAGATACTAAAACAGTTTGAATTTCTAAAAATTGTTGTTTTAATTGGCTGACTTCTTGAGATAATTTATTTTGCTGGAAATAATAAAAGTTAAATGGAAAATGATTGATTGTAGTACATGTGAATAATTGCGAATATCGATGTCTTTGAGTGATGCTTACACTGTTAGAGAATTATGTATAAGTTGGTTCAGCCAAATAAAGTAAGTGGAACGCCGTGAAATAGTTTCAAAGTAACTTAATAATTGAGAATTAAATATGCAAAATATTAAGCTATCTCTATAAAATTATTATTTGGAACCGAAGATATGGAATTAAAGTAACTTTACTTGGCAAATAAATAACCTCTGGAAAAATGAACTTCAAAGTAGGAGAAAACCAACGACTCCAAATGTGCCAGTTACACATTCATATTATATCCCGCAAATGCCCAGGTACGGCCGGTTGTGGGAAGGGACCACTCTCCCTATCGCAATGCACTTATATGGTCTCACGTATATAGCCATTGCCAGGAAAGTCCCACTTACTGCCTTCTTACAGTAGCTGTGTTGTTTACGAAATTGAGAGGACGAAAAGCAAATATCCGGCGTTTAAACCGGTTTGATGGGTACAGAGAATTTACCTAGGGAAGTAGGGTAATCTTGATTTTAGACCGATGGTGCACATGGGCTCCAGGATCATGAGAGAACAAATAGTGTATGAGCCTGTTTATGATAGAAATAGCTACAGAAAATAACTGGATTACTTAGTTTTGTACGAAACAAAACTGTAAAGCGAATTATGATTATATTCATTTGGAAAATGACTAAATCGATAATGAATTCTACAAAACTGTCACAATTTATTATGTTTTTGTTAAATTTGTTATTTACATGAACAATAGATGAATCGCTAGTACATTAAATGGCTAAATATAAAAAATAAATATGCATCAACGTATATTACCTGATTTTGTACATCTTTTAAAATTTTCATACGAATACAGTTTTCTCTACATTGATGTAGGTATGTTGAAGAGGAACTACTTAGTCTAGTGATAGTTGGACAAGAATTTGTTGAAAACGAACAATTATCATCTTCATTCTCATCATTATTTTCAAAAACAGTTTCGTCAACATCCATTTTATGTCTAATAGAAAAAGAACAATCAATTGAAGAATTAATGTGTACAGGGAAAAAAAAGATCAACATGGTAAAATAATAACCAATGGTCAAAGAAATAACAAGACAATTCATAGCCAACAATAAATGAATAAAGTGTTGGCAGTGAAAGTATAGTTTACTGACAACCTATCCAGCGACTATTAAAATGACCCTAAGTAAAGCAGACTTTCGACCAATCCGGATACAAGGAGTATTGAACGAGGGGAATATGTTTTATACATTTCGCAATTAGCTCTTTGATTTTCTCATGTTTAGAACCTTCCGTGAAGACCCAAGAGCCACTATCTTGAATCTGATTGGTTCACTAGCGAATTATACTATTACAGCAGTAATTTAGTGGTTAAAATAATCCGCTCTGAATTATTAAGTTGCAGGATCTACTTTAATCTAAGCACACCTTGAAGTGTGACCGCTCAAAGTCACATATATAAATCTGAACTCGATAATCAATGTATTAGTCATACTAATTTCGATAATTAATAAATAAACTGGGAGTGATCCAAGAGAAAATCAATTTAAATAACTCTAGTTGCATATGCCGATTATGTGATTGAAGACGTTGAGTGGTATAATCCAAGGTCTGCTTACGATGACACAAACACATTCACTTTCAGCTTTCCTTTAACTCTTGAGTTTTAAAATTATTTTACACTTTTCATCTATCAAAATTTATTAATTATTCTCGAGTCGTCACATTCTTCAAGTCTGAATCCTTTTTTTATTATCACTGATATTGTTTCTACTCCTTAGGTATACATCTTGACGTGGGAACTTGGACCAACGCACATATGGTGCTTAAGAGTGAATATTTTCCCAGTCTAAAGTTAAGAGTTACGAGTGTTATTGTTACTCCACCTACGACTTGGGTATTGTGCTGTATTAATGTGATGTGGTAACTTGAATCAAGGAATATATATCCCAGTTTCTGACTAATTATATAAATTTATAATGTGTGCATGAAAGTGGGAAATCCTGATTAATAAATATTACCATTATTCAGTAGTTTCGTTTGATTCAATATATAACAGACTTTACACTAGAGAATCAAAATACAATAAATTAGCACAGATTTTAATTAATGCACAAAAAAATGACAAATATTGGCGTCCAAATGTATCATTTTTATGTATTAGACAGAAAACTAGTACACTTTTCATACTGACAATTCGAAAATACAGTATCATATCCTCCAACAAAGAACTAGACTAACTATTGGTTGTTAAAACAAAACAAAAAAAATAATAATGAAAATAAACAAAAAAAACACTGAGGTAGGTGTGAGTGAATGGACAAACGAGCATTTGCGCTGAATATATAATCGAACTGGACCAGTCAGTCAGTCAATTGAAAAAAATTTTTATTGATCATGATCAATAAATCAGAACTGACACAAAGAAACAGATGTTTTCAATAAATTATGTGATAGATAATATTAACAATAATTAAGCTGTACATCAAATTTTCTACCGCTGCTCAGTATTCAATACGTTGTAGATGCGCACACACACACACACACAAACAAAGACCTCTTACAAAAAAATCTATGCATACATATGATTAATCTCTCTCTCTCTCTCTTATAATCGATTACAGATAGATATATTTATTTATGTAGATAGAGAAATTATTGATTGGTGGGTAAGAATTAATTCATAGGAAATCTATAAGTAGAAAAGCAATATACGAGATGACCTTGACAAATAGCAAATCATTTTAAAGATATACGGGGGTTAGACTATGAAAACCACATACATCCAAATGTTAATTATTCAATAATAACAATGCTGATCATTAAATAAAACAAGAAAAAGAAGCAAAAATTGATGATGGATAGGATGAAGAGCATGTTAGAAGTTGACTCATTCATCTCTATCAATGGTATAAGAAAGATTTTCTATTATGATAATAATAAGAGAATTGGCCTTAATATGGTTCAAGCTGTTTTCAACAAAGTGTGTACATCAATTTCTAAATAAGCAAAATACGCATAAGATACTAATATAAACTAGAAATGTAGGATAAGAAGCTCCAATGTACTAGTTCGACAATGTGTAGTCGGGTAATGATAAGTCTTTTAAAGAAATGTCTAGTGGTACACATATACACATTATGTTAATTAAATACAAAAAAGGATGAATTTGCGGAAACTGATATTTTTAGATCAATCTCCGATTTTAGTCCCTAAGGGGATGAGTCTCTGGAGTTTCAGTTCTATTTGGTATACCGACATTGTTGAAGATACATGTAGTTGGAAAGTTACAAATGGGATAAAACGCGCATCATGGATTTCATTGTTAATCATTGCATCGTCTTTGAATTTCAATGTTATCTGAGGGCTATCTTGTGTTTGGAAATAAGTTACAAGAACGAATGACAAATTCATATAGTCCTACATGTTTTCTTTTTTTTCACTTGAACAAAACATGAACACTGTAGTATTAATTGGAGAGGTGTTTGGAATCACCTTAGGTTATTATAGAACTATATTTCAATTATATTTATTCTTCCATTAGCCATTATTTAGTAGTTTAGCCAATGGGTTTGAACTTTCTAATGACTCCATCGTCAGGTGTAATGACAATACAGCCAAAAGCCTGGTTGTAAGGTGTGAGAACTGAAATACGGGATAAATATAGGGATTAGCTGATAATAATGCTGAGTAATTAGCCTTATTATATTACAAGGTGATTAGCAACAAAAGATTCAGACCACGTAGTTTACCAATAACGTGGTCACTCTAAAACTGAGGGCTTGGGAAGTGATTCTTTGGGTTACTGAAGGACCCAGTAATGTGACTGAAGTGTTTTATTACTGGGTTTCTGATCTCTAGAATTATGATGGCTTATTGGTTATAGTGTTTAAATTTTAGCCATTTGAGACCCGTTTCACCTACTTCAGTTAAGGCAGCTGAGTAGTATTATCGTCCCCCACACTTGAAGTGTGACTCATATCCAATTGCTTTGCAAATACGTAAAGAGAAAATAATGTTGCGTTTCCACGGTGAGGAAGTTCTCGGTCTAAATTAGGTGATAGTGAATTGATAAAGCAATCAGAGCGAATACTATATTTAAAACATTGACAACTTTAATGTCAGTGTTTATTTGTTTCTAAATATAACAATAGTATGATTGATAAAGTACCTACAATGATGAAAAGACGTAACGAAAGGAATTAACATGACAACTTGAATAAATAATTTCCAAGGCTTAAACAGGGCATAAAACAGTCTTATCCGTAAATAGCTCTTAACGAGAAAGAACATATAAAACAAACGAACGTTAAACGAGTTCAAAATCGTGGAGAATTAGATTTTAATAATTAAATTCCCAAGTTATTAAACATTACATCTTTAAATTTTATCATCCAAGAGCAAAAAGGTAAAGAAAATTTTTACCAAATATTTTAGCGACAAAAAAATCGTTTAGTAGTAGAAACTCGATTTTTAATCAATAAATTACAGGTTGAAAATCTGGTTTCGACAGCTACCTAGTATTACTAGCTCTATCAACAGCATTTTTGTTATAAATCGTTAAATACATCACTAATCTGTTAAAAATATTTTTATTTCCTAACTAATAATATACAGACTAGGAAGACTACTAACTAGGTACATTGTACAATTGTTTAATTAACTTGTTAAGTGTGAGTTCATTTGGTAAATACGCTAGTTTAATTTTTAAAGAACAGATTTCGAGTCGATAAACCTGTACTTGATTTCATTACTATTGATTTTAATAGTGCATGAAAACATTATAAACCTTACCCAATTAACCGTTTCAAGTGCCGACCACAACGTTTGAGGATTTTCAATCTGTACATAGAACTTGAAGGTCTGTTTTTATATGACTTTCTGTTTTTAGAATTTATGAAACAGTGGTGACTAGATGGATCATCCTTGACAGAATGTAACTTAATTTGTCGATCCATTAATGAAGCCGAATTTATGATAGCTATGGAGTGCGCAGATGTTACTGGTAGATCACTTTTCTCCAAAGTACACATTCTATAGAAAAGTAGCTATTTTGAATGTCTCCAGTAAAACATATGACGAATTATCTACATGCGAAACAAAACAAAATAATCAGTTACATAATGTGAGAACTATATAAACCGGAAAATAAATACCCATGGTATAAACCATTGCACTATCTCAAGTAATTAGACTATAAATCTGGGTTATCAAAGTCTAGATATAAAATGGGAAACAATTTAGAGCCAGTAGTTCTACTCCATGCATATGGAGCATAAACTCGACAATGGTAATTAGTCTACGTTTTTGGGACTGATATAATTTTGTGGAAGCTACATGCAATCAATCGAGATTTTTTAACACAGAAAACTTGTCGAATGAGTGAATTCATGACACTGATTATTTGAGCCCGTTCAATGTATTTTGCCTCAAAAACTCATACTCACGATTATTCATCATACTAAGGCAGTTGGTTTCAGTAACGTTACATAAAAAATTGAGTTTCAACACAAATAATCACTGCACAATAATAATCTGTAAATAGTATAGATTGATGTGCAACTTCCACAATCAGTGGTGAGGTCCATGGGGTGTTCCTAAATTAACACGTGAAAAGTAAATCAAAGGAGGCTAAAAAACTATTTGTACGATACTGGAGAAGCATGGGGTGAGCAAAAGATGGATTCATCTGTGTCCTGATAAGCATTTGTTTATGGCACACACCAATATAAGAAGTCCCTTGACATGATCACCAAAATCAATTCAACCGTCAGTAAAGATTGCCACTAAACATAGAGATAAGCCAAGTGTTGATGTAGTTTTCCAAGTACTTTTCTATACACCCACCACATTCATGTTTCGAATCAAACAAAAATGGATATAGTAATGATTGAATTTTATGCCCAATTTTTAGACAGAAGCATATAGTATATACTTTAGGAGGAATTGGTTATGAGACGGAAAATAGTAGCGTATTCCTACATTACTATACCGAAATATCAAGTGAAGTATTTGGAAATTGGAATTGAAAAATTGCATTTGACTGAAGACTAAAAAACTGGACTTCGGCAGCATTGAATAATGCACTTAAAATCCATCTTTTTAGCTACGAAAAACTTACGACACACAAGCAACTTAGGAGCAAACTGATAAAAACGAAGTCTTCGAACGTAGTAGTACAATGTGATGACGAAAGTATCACCAATAAGCATTAGTATGGACGTGTTTTAATATGAAAAGTCAACCTAACTATGTAAATTAATGAACAAGATGAGCCACTGGGTTATACTTAAGTCTGGTGGTTGTAGTTATGGACGAAAAGGCTGTTTATGTGATGGGCTACTACCCTGTAGGTAGTATGAACTGAGAATTGAAAATGAACTCTACAACCAAAGTGTCCATTATGGTGAACTTCAAAAGTAGAAGATAGGTCTAAAATTTGCTTAGGTGACAACTAATGACCACTAGCTTGACCAATATATTAATTACAATGTGAATAAAAAATATGCTCGTTAGGGATGTTTACGTTCATTTCTGAAAAGGAATTGCGTTATCTTCACTTATCTTGAAAAACAGGACTAGCAAAACTATTAACTTTGTAGCAAACAGGTTGTTAAGCTTATGCTAACTGGAGCTACTTGTATTGCTGTAACAACACTAGTACATATTGCCAATGAGGCAATGAAGAACCGTTTTATTTACCACACGTCAGTGATGACAATGTAGTAGAAACGCACTAACGGTGGAAGAGAAATAGCGTCTAGGTAGACGTCAGATAGCTGATAACTGAAGGCATAGGCTGATAGTTTAATAGACGATTTGATAGCAACGTACACACTAGCTTTTTAAATAAAACATTATTAGACGTGGTCAAAAGCAATTATCTGCTCATTATATTATGCATGACTATTTGACGACTTATAAATCACTTTACTAATAGTTACGTCTTACTATCTTGATCGGGATTTATGTAACTTCCCCGTCAAAAGTACTCGCCGATGCTTTTGAGGTTAAGATAATTGCACGGAGAGAATTTATGACAACCAAAAGAAATGCTAGCTACAAAAAATTGACACCACTTAAACTGAAGAAAGGCTGGTTACTATTGTAAGGTTTGGGCATGACTTTTCAAATCCGACATTAGCAGGTTAACTAAATGACAACATTTGCAACCACTACGCCAAAACAAAAAGCTGCTACCATATGAAAGAAATGTGCAGTTACTGAAGGAAGTATGCCAAAACGCTCTTGAAGTTTATGATTTCGCTAGTTCTCAAGAAACTGAAAACCTAAAAACCACTACTCATCTTCAACTATATACAATGCGCAAATATTTTGTTTCGTTACATAATAAGTACTTCTGAATGTGATACTACGTGACCTATATATCTGGGTATTACTAAGATGACGATGGCTAGCACGATTAATTTAGTGACAATAAGCTATCAAAGATAGTATGTTCTTAATACAAAAATAATTATGTTTCAGGAAAGGGAAATCAAATTTAACTAAACTTTGTAGAAATGTATGCAAGATTAAAATATAGCATTTAGGCCTGTGACACTTTCGACAACAATAAGCAATCACTATTACTGGGAAACTATGGGCCAAAGAGATAAACGATATTATATATATATATATGTGAAAGACGGTTCAAGTTTTATAATAAAAAGCATCAACTAGACGAAACAATAGACCGGGGCAACTGAAAAAGTCGTAAAAATGCATTAAACCATTACCCATCGCATGAAATAAGGACGTACAGTACATTAGGATGATAAAACCCAATAGAAATCCAAACATTGAACCGTTCGAATGCAAGTGACCTAAATAATCGAATAAACTAAACAAACGTACTTATTCATTCGACAATTTCATGTAATCGTCGATGGAATAATATCCACTATGATTTGCTCTCTTTAGTGTACACTGTTTAAATATTAATATTACTTGCGAATGAGGATTAATGTATATGAAATAAACAGCTGATTTGGTTATTCAGTTTAAGATGTTATTCTGAGTCTTTGAGAAAATGTAGAGTTATGTTTAAATAAACCTTATGAATTTATTCTTGACAATCTGAACGGTGTTACCAAAAGTAGAAAGTAACTTCGTAATGACATATGCTGTACTACACGTAAAGATTACGAGTATTTCCACTATGATTTATGTTAGGGCTTAGTTTAAGTTTGTCACAAAGGATTTTACCAAGTGATCAGGGCTTTTTAGGTTGTCATTAGGTTATCTATACTCCCATCATTCTATTAAGTATAAATCTAGTGTTTTCCGGACGTTCCTCATGTGACTATATCTTACGATCACATACTGAATTTGTGTCTTATCTTTGGGTACACTTTGGTGCTTTTATCCATTTCTTAAAAAAGAGAAATTGTCTTTTCGATTTTCAATCAGTAGCGGTAAATAAATCCCTAAAATCAATAGCTCTTTGAGTCTTTGACATCAGATGCTGATCACATTAGTTTTAATGGACTCACCAAGCTGAGTGCGCTCAGTCATGCATCCTCACCAGACCACGAGTGAGAACACCGTGCTCAACTTTTCCTACGACCACTAACCAGTTTACATAAGTCACTTCTCGATATATTGATAACCTAAAAAATATATCTTCGAACCTCCTCACTTTTGACTTTTGGTTTCATTGGGTGGCCACGATTCATTTATAGGTGTTGCTGTTTAAAGTGTTGTTAAACTACAAAATCATGTGTCATATCCACAGAAATTTGAATAAAATCGAGAAAAATCAAATGTCCAATGATAGTGGTCCAAGAATGGCGTAAAGACGTTTTATTCAAGCTTAGAGCATGATATTAGGCCGTAGAGATCAAAGGCATCAAAACCTTTCCTATTTTACTTGTATTCTACCCATTAGTTTCGGTTTTAGAGATCGGAGAGTATGTCTGAATCTTACCCAACGTTGATGGAATGCTTTAGCAACTATTGGTGGGACTAGTAGCTTTGTACTATATAAAGTTATGTTCAGCAATAATTCTCATTCAGTATATATAATTTATAAAGGATTTCCTATTCTGCCAGCTCCGAATTGTACGTTGCTGGAACCAGGAACTTCACTCAGCACTCCGGTTTTTCAAATAATTTTGAAAACTATTAAGTTGAGATTACCTTTATTCAAACAAACTGGAGGCAAGAAGTCATTGACTGGGAATTCTTTGTTCGTAAATATTTAAATTAAGCGTGATAGTGTTTGGCTGTTTCTCTGCTGACTGGCTAACCCCATTTCAACTATTAACCTTTGTTCTCCTATATCACTAAATAATCGACCTTTCATGGATTTATCTCCCTACTGTATACATTTTCCGCCTACCGTGACAAACAGTAATATGACGTCCAACACTTCTCACGAGCTAATTTGAGCTGGGTATTCAATACAAAATAACATAGCTTATACGGAGCAACCACGCCAACATATCCGAGCCATTCCATTTTTATTCATTGTTGCCACTTTCACCATTTTTGACCTTCTCTTAGAGTTACGTGTTGAAAATAAATATTCTTAGTCATTAAATGCTCAGCTTCAAAGGCCGTGTGGTTAGGAACCAATACTACTGCATATAAGTTCAAATCTTTTTCTGTAGCATGAACATATTTGTAACTTCTCTCATCCCAAATTATTGCGTCAAACGGTAAATCGACAGTTAACTGGAAACTTGTATTGTATGGGAGTTTGTTGATTTTAAAGTCTCTTAATAGGTTGAGGCCAAACTGCAACCTTTCTTTAACGTATTCTGTCTGTGTTAGCTTGAAAAAGTCACTGATGCTCGGTGTTTGAGAGAGCAACCGCCTCAAACCTCTCACTATACTGCGACTACAGTCAATCAGACCAGATGTCAAGGATGATGGGATGATAAGATTATTTGAAACGAAAATGAATACCATGTGTTCTGTAGAGTATAAGTGATTAGCTGTCATAAGAAATGTGTAACACCGCTAATCAAACACAATCTGATCAGGATGCTTAACCGACCACCCTCAGCTAGTGGTGTGTCCAGTACAATTAATAAGGTCAGTATCAAAGTCAAGTGCTTACGCCGACCCTTATTCTGAGGGTTTATTTGCCACCACAAACCTTATAGGTTGGTCTGAATGGTTGATAACGGAAGTGATGAGTGTTAGATCCAAACCTAGATTCCAATAGGTCTGGATGTGGCCGAATAACCGTTGGATAGTTTAGACACTCGTGTTTCGGTTTAAATCAAAACAAGGTATATATTTGACACGGTTCTGTAATTCATCATATATACAAATGCACAAATTTACCTAAACGAATATTATCACCCGGTTATTCAACCAACAATTGATACAAAAATATCCAATCTAAATTACAATAAATAGCAAGGTGATAAGAAATATATGAAAAATTACCAAAAAACACAAAAGAATAAGCGTTATTCTATCCTTTCTGGATAGATCAAGGGAGATTCCGTTTGAGCGGTTATTTTATAACACCAAGTGTTTCAATTTCTGGGAAAGTGCTCCAAATTACAACCAAAATGCACGATCCCAGTCAAAATCAACCGCACAATCAAATAGCGAGCAGCCAATATGGCAGGTGCCAGAATAATAGCAATTAAAACAAACTAGATACAGCTGAGTAAGGAACATAGAGACTCAATAAAAAATGATAGTAAAACCAAGAAAACTGAACGTCACAGACTTAATTAGCATAAAAATGTTAACAGCATATACAAATAAAGAAAACGTAAGGAAGAAATCACAAGTGTATGCATGGAGGGATTTTCACTTGCAAAATGGATCCAACAATGAGTGACATTTGATCATAGATAAAAACAGTTGTGTCGGTCAAAGATTGACTTTTTTCATATGTCTAGTATTCCTAAAGAATATTAATTATTGTTTCACCGATGGGATGAAGACTGTCTACACTGCTGAAATAAAACAATTACTTTATTTCAGTTGTGCAGGCATGATTCATTTATATTCATGTACCTTATGTTTTGCTTTCTGAAAGCCATGTATTCCGTCTAGTCTAGTGAAGTCGTTAAATTATGGTCTACTTCGTCATTGGTACTATTATATTAATAGATCTGATCCTAAAATTGTAGAATTGTCATCATGTGACTGCCTAATCTTCAAAATCTTGCGTGGAAGTCACACCATTGTCTATTCTGACTCATGGTACCATGAGAATAAGCTATATAACGTCCAATGCTTTTGAAGAACACATTTCGGCTAAAGATAGAATAATATATTTAGTGCAAGTAAAGACAAGTTATACGGAATGACCAAGTCTGGGAGGTTGAGCCATGCCATTCGACTGAATGGAATTAATTCTTCCTGTTTTCTCCACCGTTAACCTTTTCTTCGTGTTAATTGTTGAATATTCTTTTTGCCAGTTTTTTTTATGTTCGGCATTGGAGATTGTGTGGTTAGGACCAATGCCACTACAAAATCGTATATGAGGGGACGGGAGATCTACTTAAGCATGATGTTTATCTGTTCCTGCCTCTCCTCTTTTTCGTATATCACAGAGACCACCAGTAATACGTTTCTGAAGTCTACTACCTTACGACTTTTCCTGATGCATTAAAATTCGAAATGACATCTGGTGTTTGCTGTGTCCAACTTGTGACAGGAGTAGGATGGACAAATATTCAATTCTATTTATAACAACGAGGAAATCTCTACGAGTCTTTACCTGATTCCTAGTCTGTTGTCGTCGTCTGGAAAACGTTTCAATTAATCTTAGTTAATGGCTTTTCAATCTCTGATTAAACTGAATAACTATAGAAGTTACTGAGCTCATTCTTGCTCTCACGCTTTCAAATTGATTCTTTGTAGGATCCCTTGGGTAAAAGAATGAGTAAAAATATCACAGATATGCTCCACATGCGAACATAACCCATTGTTCGATTCCATGTGTGACGTTACTTTCCTTTGTCACTCCATTCATTTACCTTGTGTTTACTCTCTCAAACGTGGTTGTAGTAACCAAAAACAGGCGGATAATAATAAGAATAAAAATAAATGAATAAAAGTTGGAAGTTAATTACCACCTTATTTCATGCAATTATATTTACTATTTCCCTTTACTGAATAATAAAACTTCTCTTTATCTAACTAATATCGATAAGTGTCTCGGTTCGATATTCGGATTTTATTATTGATAATGAAAAACAGATACAGATGTTACAAATGATTACTGTTCTTCACTTTTACGATTTTGGGCCCCTAAACACTTGTTTAATATTGCACAGCCCATCACTAAATCTAATGGTTTTCTTTCACTGAACCATGTGTCTTGGATTTTACCACACCGACTCGCTGTTTTTTAAGTTTCTACGCCTAACTGATTAAGGAATTTCAAAAGGGAAACGTATGGTGGAGGGAGGTTACAAAGATCGAAGAAAAGAGAACGAGAACATAGAATGATTTGTTTGGAAACGAAGGAACAACAAAGTCTGAGACAATCGATTGATATTTTGCAAATGAAGTATTTAATGTATGGTTCTCAGATCTTGCTAAGGGATTATGTAATTTTGTGTTCAAATACATTTTTCCCCGCCTGTGGTCTTGTTCACTACAGTACCATGCTTTATTGAACAACCAAATAGATTAAAGAGATTGCAAGCAAGGGTTCGTTGTGAATGTTAAAACTCGTTCCCACACGGTGTTTATTACACATTATCTCATCATCACAACATTGTTTTCTGGTTGGCTAGTATCCAGATCAAGGGCGTTTGAGATTTCCGGTTTACTTATGCCCAATCAATTAAACTGTGACCTGTTCCCTCATCTTAAACTAAACACATTTGTGAATAGAGTTTGACTTCCATTAGCTACCATTAATTTCAAATTCATTACAGAATGCCTGTCATTCGGTTTCTAAGCATTTAGTTCTATCCAAACGCTAGAAACTGGTTATGTGAAATGAATTTCTATACCATAAAGCTGTTATGGAAATAAATTTTAAAAAAAACCTTATAATTTCCTAACGTAACAAGTATAGCATTAAATAGTCATAAAACAGTATACCAAATTAGAATTTATTGTCACTTGTTTTCAAGTGTCCATGAATTTATTGAAACTTTAAATAAAGAAATATTAAAACACCGAAACATGGATGTATATTTCAGATAAGAGAAACTGTATTTAGAAATGAAAGCGTTTATCATAAGAGCTGTAACGTCTTGAATGAACATCGTTATGATTATAAGTTATACTGTTATTAACATTTGTTGGTTGAGTTATTGAGGCTGGAGATGTTCCATTTGATCCAAAATGTAATGATGTACGTGGTGTATTACACGAATTACCGTTACTATTGCCACCATTTGAAATCTGATCAACTGTATTAAAACGTTCATGAAGTTTACGACGTATCCTCGCTCTAGTTAGATTATCCATCTCATTAAAATTTATAGTTTCTTTATCAAGTTTAGCTAAAAATTCTTCCGATGCTGCATTTGAAGAAATATCTGAAAATGTGATTATTGTATGAATACCACGTGGACGTGTATTTGTTTCTTGGTTTATCATCGATATTAAGTCTGTATTGCATGCTCGTGTACGACACTGTTTAGCTGATTGCTGAAACTGTTGAGTAGTTAAATCATATTGGTCGTTTGATTCTGTTAAGCTTATATCTGTTTGGCAAGCTGTAGAATTTATGCATGGTCTATATTTAACCAAAAAAATTAGAGGAAAGATGATAACATGAGATGCTTAGAATCTCTAATGATTTACTCTCAAATAACCTAACACTAGTGTCTTTTAATTCATTATTAGGTTAATTATATTCTAAAGTCTTATTTTTTATCGGATAACACTTGAACCGCTTTCCCGTGGAATAAATCAAGCTGACTTCTGATTGTGCTAAAAGTGTTAGCGTTGATCCACTTATTATCATAGTAATTCTACATAAATCTAATGGTGGACTTTATTGAGTGCAATTGTCAGTTAAGTGGTAACTGTTTTCTACACGTTTTCTCTTTTTTACTGGTTATAATCATTATAAGGCTTCAAAATCATCGGAATACACTTTAAAAACGTGTTTTTCAACCATGTGATCCTCTCTTTCAAGCCCTATCATCTATTATTATTCTTATCAATTTTCAGGAAAGTTCCTTAGATGCACTATTTGGTATTGAAAAATTAACATGGCGTATAACTTCCTCATGTTTCCTATAGACCTCGCTACATGGTAGCATTTATTATTTACGTTATATAAAGACTAAATTGTATTCCTTGAAATAAAGTGGTTGTTGAGTCGTTTAAATCTTAATATTTAAATATCACTGATTACAGTTGATTAAAGCTGAATGAAATAAAATGAATTCATAAGTACATATTTAAGGAACCCTTCGATATATTCGTCACAACCATCGGATCTGACGCACCAGAGGTCTCTTCGTGGTGAGGTCCCGATAGTTCACTTATGATGAGCGAGTAAAGATGATGAACAATTATTTCAGGGCCTCATGTCATTCAATAGTTTCTCAGCTATAGTCAATCAGTGACAGAGATTATTTTGACATTTTTGCTTCGAATTCGTCTTGTTTTAAAAAAAATTCGAACCCATTTGAAGCGAAAAAGTCTTCCATGTTCAACGTAGCGGTGTGGTGTGAAATCCTTTAAAAGAGTAATCAAAAAAGGTACCATCAAAGTTTTACATGGTGAAAATGTCCGAATTCAAATCAAAGCCTTTATATCATTCCATTTAGTGCTATTATTGAACACTTCTTCCTCTTCATATTGATTGCCAAGTATAAACCGACTCCATGTCAATTCATAAATTATGATAAATGTGTAGGGGTCAGGTACCTAGGTTGGACCATACTTCAGGGTGTAGATTTTTAATTGAGTAGTTTTTAAAGAAAGATTTTTGAAAACCAAATAATGGAAACTCAAAATTTTCGTTTACTAAGTCACTTGTTTCCACATTCGAGTTATTGAATTAAAAATAGAGAATGATCAGTAAAAAAGTAATAATTTACCTGTTAGCTAATTCTATGGATGACGATGTATTAGAATCGGTCGACGATGAATTGCATTCTAGAGGCATAGATAAATCTTCATAATTTTCGTCATCATCATCGTCGTCGTCGGCGTGATGATGCATATTATTCATTGCTGATTCATTTGTTAAATAGCCTAGATTTACAGCTCCAGTTCGGAAATAAATCTCTAATTTAATCGCATCAAATTTATCTGTAATTAACTCTAAATGATTTAATTCAGCAATTTTTTCATATAGATTCGATCGAACTAACAATAATTCCATATCTTGATTATCTAATGAACTGGCAATATCTTTGAATAGACTTTCAGCAATTTCAACATTTTGTTCTTGATCTGGTTGATTGTGTATATGATGCATATTACGTTCACCAACAAATTGATGCAGTTCACTGATCAATTCTTGTTCTTGACGTTGAATCTTGAAATTTAAAAAAAAATTGACAAAGAGAAAAACAAGCATATTTACGAGTGTTTTTTTCTTTCTTTAACTTCATCTAGAAGATGGTAATTTGTTTAGGTAACTCAGGAAAAGTATTTAAAAGAGTATTTAACCAGATATCTATGAAATAATTGACTTATTTTTGCAGATACAAAGTCGCTTTTGTGTATATATTTCATTACGATTGTCAGTTGAATAGTAGTTTTGATAATAGTGAAGTTACTTGAGATATGTGTTTAGTTTAGTTTCCTCGTTATAATAAATGACTTAACGGAATGAAAATCATATTTTCTAAAGGCATTTATTAATAAAATTAGTTAACTGAAGATTCAATTATAAGCAAAAATGGACAGTGGCTAGCAGTGGAATCTAGGACGCGCGTTTCGTCCTATTTGGGACTGATCAGCTGGATGTACCTGCATCTCAAAGTTGATGTTCACTCTGGGACTCGAACCCACTACCTTTCGCTAATCAATCGCAGTCCTAAAAATCAATGGAAAGATTCAAACAAACAATACCAAGTGGATGAATATTCAATTATTATTGAAACATTGAACAATAATTTTGAGATCTTCAATAAAATAAATAAGAATAAATGGTAATTGACAATTAACTATATATATATATATATATCATATTATTTATTGAAATAAAGTGTGACCTTGTCACTGAGATATATAATAATCCCATAGAAATTAACTATGAACAAAAATGAAGATAGTTGTTAAGTGTTAGAATGAATCATTAGTGTTTATATTAAATACACAGCACAAATAAACCTAAAAAATTTTCTTAATCAAAGTTAACACTTTGAATAATAAGTAACTTTAGCGTTAGTTAATAATTAGCATGTAAGATTTGTTTGTTTTACTATAATTTAGTTGTTAATGTTATCTTTAGGATTTACAGTTACATATATGCTCCCAAATGCCATGGTACAGTCAAGGGTGAAGAGAGTCCGCTCTCCCTCTCAAAATCACCTCACATGGCCACGTGTATACAGCCATTGACAGGGAAATCTTACTCACTACCTCATCGCAACGAGGGTGTTGTTTAAGAAATTGAGAGGACGAAAACTGAATGTTCGACACTTTAGCCGGGTTGGTGGACAAGGAGGGTTCACTCAGGGGAGTTGGAAAACCCTAATTCCAAATCAATGGTGCACATAGGCTCCAGAATCCTGAAGGAACAAATAGTGTATGAACCAATCGTTAGTCACCGTCTACTGTGGAACTGCGTCTTCTAACGTTGCTCCACTGCCTTGTGGATCAAACCTTTAGGTCAAAGGATGTGGTCTCCTAAGAAAACTACCTGCTTCGTTTTGAGCACCCGGAACGTATCACAACACACACACACACAAATCATGTGACTTGTGTGGCGCATATGTATTCGGTGCTTCTTCGGTACCAATATTTATATGTTCAAATAAATAAATAAAATACTAATGGTGCATGTAATAGATTTGTTATTTTGTATTCGTTTATCAATATGACCAAATATTATGTGAAATTAATGCTTTAAATAAGTATTTTATTGTTTTTACTGTATAAAATATACTGATATGTATTTACAGTTCACTAACTAGCTGATATCAGATGTAACGTAGTAATGAACATTCTAAGTTGAATTACCAAACAATACTATAATAATAGAACAATAACGGGATGGATTTGTGTTATATCGATTGAGTGTGTGTACGTTCTTGCCCAGTTAATATACATGAACGTGCTGAGTCTCCGCCAATCATAGAGGAGTGAATTTATTGATCGCCCAATGATACACAAAGCCGTATGAGCAATCTTGAGTACATATCAGTCCTGCTTTCTGCCTAACCCAGCATGTTAAGTCCAGAACACTAATAACAGCCTCTGCAATATGAATCATTATTCTCAAACATACTGGGTTTATATACCAAACAAACTGACCACATCTTACCATAAAATAGAAAATAACATTTGCCCAATATTTAGCCAAATGTGGCTGTGAATAGGGGGAACAGTAATCAATAGACTGAGGATAACTCAAGAATGGTAAATCATATAGTAATAGTCCATAGGTCAAAATAAAGCTTATAATAAGAGGGACACGAATATGAATAGTTTAGTTAGTTAACAATTATATAATAGGAAATATGCATATCATATTGCTCCATAAATAGTTCTCAAAAGTTACCATTCATAAATCTCCACGGGATATAACAATTTGCATGCACATAGAACACAACCATACCATCTTTTTACCAAACAATACTATGGATTCAATTAAAAACGTTTACTGTTCATATTGATCATAACAGTATTTGAATAAAAAATTTATTTATAAATAATGTTGATTAATTATATACTACTTAAATTTAACTCTTCTATATTCATATTCATATTTAAAGTAGAATATATAAATAACTTCAAAGGATTGTGGTATAATTAAATAGATGACAAATTCATTAGATTATTACAATAAATTTGATTAACTTATTTAAACAATAAGACTAAATAAGATCGTTATAAATATAAAGTAGTATAGTTAAAAGAATTTATGTCCTATTAAAGAAAAACAAAGAATTTGAAATGTTCTTTAGTATATTGGTATTATTGACAGTTGATGATTTATCTGTCGGCCATTAACATCAAACGTTTAATGAAGTAAATAATCTTCTAATACAGTAAATAAGAACAACTGAAACAATGATACTGAAATATATCAACTTTTCTATACAGTCCTGAATCCCACAGCTAGGTATGATATAAATGTAATAAAAGTTATATTAGGATCCCAATCTATTTAAGTGGAGTTTTATTCTCTGAACTGGATGGTTTGGTCATGAAGCTTTCATTGTTTATCTGAACAACATCAACAGCAGAAACTTCATTTAGAAGTGAAATGTATCAATGGGAGATACAATCACAATAAAGAAGTAAACTATGACAGAACAGCAATAACCAATCAAGATCAAGGTCTAAAGGACAAGCTGTCAATCATATGTGGAGAAATTCAAACACTTGATTTCTAACTGAAGTTCTTGCTGGTGTTGTTGTTCAAAAGAACAATGATAATTCCATGGACAAACTGTCCAGCTCAGAGAACAAAACTCCATATAAATCTTTCACCTGAGCAACAAATCCTCTCCGCCAGCTCAGGATCCTATCTGTCTTGTTCTGATGAAAATTGGTTTTTGGAATCTTAGTTAACATTATTGTCTCATTGTTGTGAGTACATATTTCACTATTTACTTTTAGCCTCATTTATAATACGGTTGGTTTTTTTATACACAAAGACATACTACTAAACATTAATCAGTAACCTGAATATATTTATTCATTTATTGGGCCTTTGTCTTGTTTAGAGTGACCTCTTCTTTAGGTTTACCTGTGACTTGATGATCCGTTTACGGCTACGTCCAACTTTGTTTAGTAAGTTCCTCGTTTAAAATACTCCAAAAAAGAACAATTGTTTTTGTAATTCTGCCTTAGATTTGTCTTAATTAGCAATCAGAATTACTTATTTAGTAATTTAAAACAAAGATGATAAAACAAACAACTTTTGAACTACTAGCTAAACATTTTATGAAAACAATTATCAGTATTTAATGGAACAATGAGAAATCGGAATTAATCTGTAAAATGTGATAAATTTGTGTCACACGCTTTGAACAAGCTAGTCATACATACTTGTCACTTTGTGTTTGTGTGGTGTTTGCATGAATTAATGATTCCTTTGTACTTGTTGACTGTCTAATTTTGAATTCCATACACAATACGTTCGTTGTTGATCATCTTCAACTTCTTGATTAAATTGCGTTATTCCTGAGATTCCTAGTTTGTATAATAATTCTAGTACTCCTAATCATCACAGTTTATTAGAACAGTAATTTATTTAACTTTTATCCCTGTTTACAAAGCTAAATGACAATAATAGTAATAATACTATAATTTGTACTTATATTTATACTTTAGATGCTGTTATGTCCTCTGAGTTCGGTGGTTTGATCGAGGTGCTTTCACCGTTATTCATGACAATGTCTTCAGCGTCTGCTTCATATGCTACAAATCTGCTCCATTAGTTATATTTATATCGTTGTAATGTAACTCCGCCTGTAGCTGGTCCGGAGACTACCGCCGGTCCCAAGCCCGGATAAAGGAGGAGGGTTGGACATGGGTTTAGCGACCCCATCCCTTAGAAAACCAACCCGCTAAAAAACGCTAACCAGAAAGTAAGTAAGCGATTTCAGTGTATTATATATTCAAATTCAAACGAAAAGTATAGCTCGGTTTAGATTTTTTCTGCTAATCATCTTATCAGTAAAATATATCGCATTGAAGAAAATGTATACAACCCTACTCCAAAGAATAAACCACTTCGAGAATCGAAGAAGGACAGCAAAATAATAAATAAATTTTTGGAAGAACTACAAAGGGGAACTCTGGCCAGAGTTGACTGAAGAACCTTAGTTGGCGGTCTATGCCTATAAAAGGTAACGAGCATAAGTTATACAATCTTATCGATTTGTTCTTAAATCACTTGGCGCCACAGTCAATCTTGCTACTGTTAAAAGCTAAACAGGACTTGAATGATTTTAATAACAGTTTCTCATCAATATTCAAAGCTAAAAAGTTAAATTAAATCACCATCTAAGTGATATTTCTTGACATTTCTTGTTTGATAAGTCCCTACAAGTGATAATATTGACTTTTTAACCCTTCAGATTACTGAATTAATCTGACAATCATTGAAATATAAACTTAATGTACAGGTGACACTCAATATAAGAAAGACCTTATTTTAAAATATATCCATGCTGTATTCAGATTTGTTTCTATTCCTGTTATTCACTATCATATGAATTATTCAAAACACTTATGAAATGATCTTTAATATCAATGAAAAGGGGGGTATGTCCTATTATTAGGTCAGTGTCAAATGGCATACAATAAAAAAAGCATACACAGTTCACTCTATACATCTTTATGCACAAAAATGCA